TGCAGTGGCACGATCATGAAGACCATGGTTCACAGCAGCCTCGACCCGCAGGGCTCAAGGCGATCCCTCTGCCTCAGCCTTCCAAGTAGCTGGAATCACAGGCATGTGCCACCACACCCGGCTCATTTTTTTATTTACTGTAGAGATGAGGTCTCGCCAAGTTGCCCAGATGGGTCTCGAACCCCTGGACTCAGGCATTCTTCTCACCTCTGCCTCCCAAACTGCTGGGATTGCAGGAGCGAGCCACTGTGCCCAGCTTTACTTTTGCGTTTTTAATAGACATGATTTCTTCAAAGTGCATCTTATCTCCACTGGCACCTCCATTAGGTAGGAGAGCCAGGCGGAAGGACACCACCCAGGCTGCAGCGGTGTCTCTTTGAATGGAACAGGAGGGACGAACGTGCTGTATTTCTTCGATTCCATGATACACATTAAAAAAAATTAACATCTCTAAAATTGGGATGCATCTTATGATTGATGTCATCTTACAATTGTACTTGGCGGACTTTTTCTTAGTAGTGCCCAAAACAGTGGTGCATCTTAAAGTTGATAATATCTTGAAATCAGTGAAATCCTGGAATACAATAGGTTTCTAAGTTCTCTGTGGGTGTGGGTTCTCTGTGGCCCACACGACCTCCACAACCAGGGAGGGATATCCTGAGTCTGGGTTCCAGCAGCATATCTCACACAGAATTCTTTCTGACCCCTGCTGCACACCTGGAAGGCTTGAGTGAGGGTCCCAGCTTTGCATAACTAGCCGTGTGAACTAAAGGCAGTCTCATCGCTTCTCTGGGCCTGTTTCTTCCTCTCTCAGATAAGGAAATTGTATTAGACCCGTGGGTCCCAACGTCCCAACTTGTAACCACCCAGGGCGCTTTTGATGATTTTTTTTTTCCCAGGGGGTCTCATGTTTTGAGGGCTTTTGCTTACCAAATACAGTGCATTAATTAAGTAATAATTCACTTCTCATTTTTTATGCATCAAAGACATCTCGTAGTGCCAGGAAGAGATTCTGAACAGCATGAGGCAGTCAGGGCGACCACACTGAGTTGATCTAACTCCAGGAAAAAGCCAGCCAACTCTTCTTTTTTGAGTCAGGGTCTCAATCTGCCACCCAGACTGGAGTACAGTGGCATGATCCCAATGATCATGGCAGCCTCAACTCCAAGGCATAGGCCATCCTGCCCTTCAGTCTCCTGAGTAGCTGGGACTACAGGTGTGCACCACCACGCCCAGCTAATTCTTGATTTTTTTTTTTTTTGGTAGAGGTAAGGTTCTGCTATGTTGTCCAGGCTGATCTCGAACTCCTGGGCTCAAGCAATCCACCTGCCTTGGCCTCCCAAAGTGCTGGGATTACAGGTGTGAGCCACCGCACCCAGCAAGAAACTATAGAAATCTGCACATTACCCATCATCTGCTAGCCTGGTAAATCCTGTCCTCCCATACCAGAGTGTAAGCTGAGCATCTGATCTGATACCACCAAAAGGGAAATGTCTGGACTGGCCTGGGGACAATTACTCTATTGGGGGAACCCCAATAGAACCCCACTGAGTACCTGATAAAAAACTTTGTATCCCCTGTCCAAATGGTCATTCACGCTCAATAACACACTCGGGCCCAGGGCTGAAGTCTGTTCTTGTGATGAGCCCTGACCTGGATACCCAACCCCTATGTTCCCCTAGGGCCTGGCTGTATCATCACCTGGGAACTGTGAAAACCCAGGCCACAGCCCAGGCAAGTCCAGTGACTGTGGGAGTGGGATCCAGA